TTTTTATGCGACCGGAAATTGAGTATTATCTCAAAATAGAAATTATTTCTGAACAATTTCTTTTTGAGCACTATATTAGAGCGAATCACTTCAACGTCCAGGGACGGTGACCGCTCACCTACATCCATCGTGAATTGAATTTTTTCATCAATCTTGTTTACAAACTTCAGAAACTCTTCCAGTTTTTCTCTTCCATGTGACGAAAGTGCGAAATAATCATCCAGGTACCGCATGAGCAATGCTGGTTGAAATTCTCTTCTATTTTGTTCATGTATACATTTGCCAAAAGTGGTGAGGGCGGCGATCCCATGGGAAGTCCAGATATTTGCTCATAGATATTCCTGTTGAACGTAAAATAGGTTGTCCATATTGTCAAGTTGATTAGTCTTGTCAACGACTCCCTCCTGATCCGTTGCGATTCGAGGATATCCTCCTCTCATTACATGATTTTCAGCAGGGCCGTTAGCGCATTTTCTCCAGGTGAAAGGATCAGCTTCATTTGTCTCTGACGAGTTGTAGCGTTGTGCTAAGAATGGTTATACTCACTGACGATGACGACTACGATTCCGGCTAAACGTCTGGGAAGTACTAAGTCTACGGTCCGACTTGGGGAATTATCATGGATACAATGGACTCCGGACTAGGTGCGTTCCTCTAAGTCTTCCTACCAATATGACCAAGTTGCGATAGGAAGTTCAAACAAATTCTATGCAACGAAAGGAGACTGCGACCGCACCATCCTAATCTTCATATCTTCAATGTAATTCTCACTGTTCTCAAGGAAAAGGGAAACTACCAGCGGTCAATTTGGATCTGCTTGAGTAGCCAAATTAATGAATTCTGAGTTAAGCTTCTTTGAAATGGTGTGAAGGCTGAGTATTTTAATAGTGAGCACGAATATCTGTTTAAGCTCATATTAATCTCAACTCCTTTGAGGTAAATATCTATTTCTAATGCTACCAATCAAGGTCAATTAAATTCACTATGCATTTCTGTGCTAACATTTATCATCCCTCCTTCACTCTTTGCTATGTGTGTGCTGCATATCCCCATCTCCCCATATACTTGGTTAGCCTGCACTTTTGCCTTGCAGAAGATCTGAGTTTTGACTCTCTACTGCCGGCATTACTGTGGTATAAGGGCCATTCTTTGCTTGCTCGTCGGCAGCTTCAGGGTGAATCAGCCAAATCCAACTCCAGTGACCCCAGTATAAATGCAGGCGCCGAGGAAGAGGAAACATGGTTTCACAGTCTAGCGCCGACACCTGACAACCTTCTTTGTCTGGCAGTCTCAGCTTTTATTCACTCAAGTCTATTTGCAGACTTGTCGCGAGCCGAACGTGCCTCATTTCTTTCCTCACTTCACCGGCAGCTGATGATACTTGTTGAAGATGAAGGTGAAGGAGAAAAGCATGAACAAAAAGGAAGGGGATTTTTTTCTGTTGCTTTGGCGAACAATACAGTAATGCATGACCTTGATGTTGCCGATTCTCCAATCAATGGAAGACAAATTAGGCCTTCGATAGAAAGGCTACTTCGCCTAGAAAAACAGAATCGCAGAATTGATGGATTTCGACGCCTAATTGAGGTCGTTCGGGTCATTTCTCACGATACCCTCTAGTCTTTGCAGCTCTCGTACTCGTCCTTTCGATTCCCATTACTTTCCTATTCATCATTTTTGACCCTCTTGTCTTTCACTTTTATTATCTTCATTTACATCTTCACCGTCACTCTGTCATGTTCCCACTATCTGATTGTGGTTTTCCACCATAGTATTTGGTCTCGGGTTTTAAATT